GCCAAACCTTTGAGAGACTTCTTGTCATCAGAAAGCTGAGTGATGATATATATAACTACTGCAGCTATTGATATAGGGCTCCTCCTGCAAGATGCCAAATCTTTTAGGTTCTGTTTTGTGCCTATCTTGGTACCGAATCGGGAAAACAATTGAAACGTACCTTATATCAAACTCCTCGGCTGTTTTCACAGCTTCTTGAGCAGCTTTAACTGCTTGCTGAGACATTCCAAGGTTAGAGCAGAACCTTCTCTGCAGTATCACCAAGAAGACCGCAATGTGAATACAAGCCACACAAAAACTAACAGTATCACCAAGAAGACCGCAATGTGAATACAAGCCACACAAAAACTAACAGTACCAAATCAAGTTAAAAGGTACCAGCAACAAACTCACCATGAAATCACCAGCGTGTATAGCGCCCAATTCCACAGCCTTACCACCAGTCTCCAACCCCAATGTTTTAACTATGTAGTCTTTTGCTCGTCCAATTTCCTTCTTTGTCGCTCCATTGGCAACAGAGCAAATTTCTATTCACAAAGTTCAGGAATTTGATTGACTTTATGGCAAAAGCTATTATCAAGAGGTAACAAGACTCTCTCTCAAATGAGAAATCTTTGAACTGTACCCTTAATAGTTCGCGGTTTGTCCTCTTGTCTACAGGAAATGTACAAGCAGGCTGCCAAAAGTGCATCCTGATTCCTTCCCCTGCTAGACTTTTGATCCTCCAGCCTCTTAAATAACTCATTAGCCCGATCCTATATCACCAACAAAAAGCACCAACTCCGTAAATGACAACCTCCAATATCACATACTAAACCAGTGACATAACTTCTAGTGATATATCCACAAGGTTAAAAGAGACGAACAATCTTACCTTGATAGTAGCAACAAGTCCCAACCTGGAAAATATTGATCAACTAGTCAGTACTCTCCTCACAAGAACCATAATGTACATACACAACAACACATGAATGTGACGTTAAAGAGGAACCTCCTCTTGTCATGTAATTGACAATGCGATTCCTCAAACGAGTAATACACTTGTACAGGTATCAAGCATGGATAAACATAAACACATAACAATTATGCAAGAGATTGGATCCGTAAACCCGAAAACTGCGTGATAAATCAAAGCAAGGCCATACAAAATCAATCTCCAAAGCTAAAACTATCTTTGCATAAACCAGGAAACACCAACGAAGATCCTCACAAGTATCATAAACGATACAAGATCCGATCCAATCTCAGAGCCAATATGAAAATCCGCGAAAACGAGATCTCAAAAAAGGGGATCAAATCGCACTACCTATCGGACATGGTAGCGATTGTTTTAAACGCTTGAATCAGACCACGTTCGGAATTAGAGTTACGATTCTGCCACCTCCCAAGAGAAGAAGACAAGAAATCACCAGAGGAACCATTGGGTTTGGCGATAACAGTGGTTAAACCACTATCGACGAGAAGAGGGTTGGTCGGACCACCGACACGATTGGGATCGCTGTTCGATGACTCATTAGCGAAGGTACGCCACTCAGATGTCTCATCAATCGAGTGAGATTCCAAAACAAGACCACACTCAGAGCAAAGGGTATCTCCGGCGGAGTGATCGAACACCAACTCCGTCTCCTTCTTACAATCCGTACAATACGCATCCGACATGATTTTTCAAGAAAGAAAACCCTAAAAATCAAACCTCAAGAAAAACAAACCCTAATTTGATCTTAATCCGTTACAGATTCCTCCGATTTCTTCCTCGTTCGTCTTCTTTCCTTCGAGAGAGAGAATCGAAAACAGAAACTGAAACACGATGAATATGTGGAGATGGTAGAGAGAATCCGTAGGTTTTGCTTCCCTTTTTATAGACAAAGAAATAAAGTTTAACTAGTCTACGGTGAGGTGCCCCTAGACAAGAAGATCTGGATCGTTGATTTTAATGGGACCCATTAATAATTAATCGAACGGTCAGTTAATTCTCTCCAGCGATTGACGCATGTTTTTTAAA